AACTATATCTGTTAGCTCTCATAGGGTATAACTGAGATGGGTGTGGCCGATTGTACATACATATATTACTGTTGAAGGTAACTCAAAATGCTTATATTTCTCTGCCAGAATTGTAATACTAATAATCTTCATTAACTTCGTAGCTCGTACCCTTCTTTACCTTACTTCTTTTACTTGTTGAAACTGTATCAACCTTCATATTCTCTTATTCTTTTTACCATATGGGTGGATAGATATTCATGCCTTAGGGATCCTTATCAAGAAGCTTATATATTTTAGTACACACATTATCTGCTGAAGACCTCACGTTTACTCATCATAAGCATGATGCAAAATCGAGTTCCTCTGACTCAACTATTCCACAGATATATCTCCTACCAACTATCTTTCTGGATGTAGGTATCGTTGTACTACGATAAAATAGAATTTAGGAGTTTTAATTCTTACAAGTGAGCTTAACCACACGATCTAGACTAAGAAGAAAGAGTGACAGTCCTAAATGACATGTAGCCTCCTGCTTATAAGTGTAGTGCACAACACACCCATAAACAAGACTCTACTAGACACGGCTTGTAGACTCCCTAGGACAGAATTGCTCTGATACCACTTTTGTCATGACCCAAACCAATGGGCCGCGACGGGCACCCAGTGCCTTACTCAACCGAGTACCAACGCAAATCTTTCGTATCATACTATCATAGGTAAATGAACAAGAAAGGTTGTCATGAGATAACAGAATAAAGAATGAGGCAATACTTGACATAGGATGACCCAACATGATATACCGACTTATACATATGACATACCGTCCTTTAAGGCTGGCATGATCCTTTATATACTCAAAATATAGGATGACAATGCCATACAAGTATCCATATACATGACATTTATCTACAAGCCTCTAAGAGTAGATAAATACCATAAAGGTAGGGACAGGGCACGCCATACAAATCAATACATGTCCAAATCATACTGACCAAATAAATAACTCCGGAGTAAATAGAGCGCACCAACACCTTTCGCTGAGCTGATAGCCTACTTGGAAGACTCACAACCTATCTATCGGGACCTGGGGGCAAGAAACGCAGCGTCCCTAGGCAAAAAGGACGTCAATACAAATAAAGTACCGAGTATGTAAGGTAAGAAAAGTCGTATACAATAGACATGAAGGAAACATAGAAAAGACCCAACCTATAAGTTTAAGTAGCTCTGTGAATCATGAAACATTTATAATGTCATGCATATGTGTATAAATGTCATACTATGCATAGGTATATGCGTACATAACATCATCAAGCATCTAACGGAATCACATCATATCATCTCGGCCACCATGGGCAAAATCATTAATGTATACCAGTTGATCAGGTGGTGGTGCATATATAATGTCATAACTTTTTCTCATACCCCATATACATATATATATGCATATATAACGTCATCTAGTCATAGGTCAATGTGCATGTATAACTGAATGCAATGCATAAGAAGTGAGTTAATAAGATTTCTCAGTATGTCATAAGATCATTACGCCTTTGATTAATATCATGAAATAAACTTTATAAACTTACGTATTTTCTGAGACCCATGAACAGACGATAGAATAATAGGATACATGGGGATCAAGAACATCGACACCAGTAGTACTTCTAAGAATAGAGTAATTTATGAAAGTTGTATATTTGCTCGTTTCGTGTGTATCATATGGATCATGCTAAAAGGAAAGAAGGGATAGCCTTAACATAACCGAGCCGATTCTCTTGACAATCCCTCAAACACACGTCAATTGCGACAAAATACGTAACGAGGAGATCAAAGTAGGAAAAAATCCGTATGATATTCTCGAAAAAGGTCATACTGGGCTCCCTTTGTAAGTCACATTGCTATTACATTGTAGGGGTTAATAAGAATTTTTGTTTGAGAATTTTCATTTGTTACCTTGTTGAAGCTCTAATCCATCTCCTTTTAATAAATTAGGGAGGTTGATTTTATCCTAGTGAGTGGGCCCCACTTTAGGTGATTACTTCGCCAAAGATTTTCTAAATTTGCCACCTAGCCCCATAACTTACCTAGTCAGTATTTGAATCCCTACTTGCTGCCACGTTGGGAGGTTATGTTTCCTTCATACTTATCCGCCAATTTCCAATTATATTGTTAATCTCTCACCAAAAATCAATAATTAACCAATTATCCACATAATTAAGAATTATCTCAAATTACTTAAAATAGTAATCACTTTTAACACACTTTATATATCTTACTATCATGTTCATTTGGTACCTTGTATAGTACTAGTCCATAAATACGAGGTATTATAGCTTAGACCATATTTTATCTCAAAATGTCAAACTTCGACGAAACTCATTTTCTTTAACTCGTTTATTCTTTTACCTTCACGGTTTTACCGATCACTTGTTATAAATAGGATAATACTTATAATCTCAAAATAATCTTGTCCATGAACTCATCTTGTTAACTGACTTAACCGCAATACTTATCCAAAGACAGGGCAAGTTGAAAGAGCTTCGGTAATTACACTTTTTGTCTCGCGTAAGAAAGAACCCGAAGGGTGAGCTTATGGCGGTTAGCTTCTAGCACTAAATAATAGGCATTAGGCATTCTGAGTTGAAAGGAGGCAAGCAAATGAAGGGAGGCATTACGGGCCTACTGCAAGAAAAGAAAAGCTTCGTAGACTTGGTCAAGTCGCTTATAGAATGCCGACGACTATTTGAACTGGTGTCAATTATTTTACGATAAATCCAACGTACAATATTACGGGGTATAATATTGACGTAATACTGTAAGGTGTAACACAAAGTGAACAACTAAAAGTGAACAGAGGGAGGGAGTAGTTATTATCACTACACTTTATTGGACAGAGGCGAGACCAGTATGATCATGTGCAATAAGTGCGAGATTAGGAAAAGCCCTTGTAAAGTGAATCAGAATAGAGCGTAATGCACGTAATGCATACAAAATTCATATAGCCGATCAAGCTAATTTGGATCGAGGCATATTAACATACACTACATAAACACACACATACGCGGGATTGAGCCATTGATACTCTGAATTAGCTGAATAACAATAAACCCCTGGACCCCAAAAAAAGTCAATTAGTACAATAGCAAAACATGGAAAAGTTATGTGAGGAGTGAGGACAGTGATTAGTCACCTAATTTTAAACATATAGCTCAAGACAAATTTCACATGATAGAGTCTATTCATTATTCCTTTACCATTTTTGATCTCCCCTCTTTCTGACCACAACATGTCGTGAAATTCGTAATTCGAGAATCTCTACCAATGGACAACATTGTCACTTCACAAACTAACTTTTGCAAAAAATAAAATTAAATAAATCTAAGAAAGAAAGTCATGTTTAAGGAAGAAACTAGAAGCCAAAGTAAAAGAAGATTACAATTATGTCTAACACAATTCATTCTGCCCAAAGCCTTCCCTCAAAGATTCGTCTTTCATCTTATCAGCCTCTGCCTGAAGATCAAACATCAGCTTCTCTCGTAAAGCCGTGATTTCATCCCCGCCGTTCTCTGCCGCTGCCGCCGATGGCTTGACTCCCTTTTGTAGCCGATCATCTGTTATGCAGCTACTTTCCGATGGCTCAGGCTCCCTTCTCCTATGTATAGCAGATATATCACCATTGGAATTCTTCTTAATGAATCTCATGACTTTCTGCTTTCCCCACTTCAGTCTAAAGGTGAAATTATGCAGTCGCTTCGATCTTTCAGACCCCATTGCCGTCAACACTTTCTTCAAAAGAGTAAAAGAGTCTAAACGCACGATGTAATCTTAATAGTACGGTTCTACTATAATTCTGCAATGTTTAATACGCACCATATATCTCATCCCTAATTTCTCCTTCCCTAATAATAATAATAATAATAATAAATTCGTTCTTTCTGTTTAAACCGGGCCCAATTTGGCCCTTTCTGACCTAAAATTGAGGAATGTGCTGGAGTTACTGTTTGGTACTTAATTCCTTGGTGAAAGTCGTAGGTAACCCCTTAAACTTATCTAAAGTTTTCATTTAGACACTTCAATTTGGATGTATTCCTATTTGACACTTACAACAACAACCCAGTAGAATCTCACCCAGTGGGATCTGGGGAAGGTAATGTATACGCAGATCTTACCCCTATTCCGGAGGGGGTAGAGAGGCTGTTTCCGGGTTATTAGACACCTAACTAACAAATATATACTCCCTCCGTTTCATATTAAATGTGGTACGTTCCTTTTTAGTCTGCTTCAAAACAAATGACACATTTCTAAATTTGAAAATAATTCAATTTTAAATTCTTTCATTTTACTCATTTACCCTTAATGAGAAACTTTTATAGCCACACAAATATCATGACCCTACAAACTTTTTACCCCTTAAGCTTTTAAGAACAAAAGTTTCAAAAATCTTTTTTTTTTCTTAAATTTCATGGCGAGTCAAACTACTCATGTAATATGAAACGGAGGGACTACCTATTAAGCACCTCATGCCTAGGTGGCATATATAGAAAGTGATATTCACTAACTTTGAGCGCGTGGATCTATTGTAACTTTTTTTCGAATAAATTTTTTCCTTTCCACCTCTTTCTCATTTATTTTTCTTTTCAAATAATTTTTTTTCCCATTTTTCTTCTTCTTTCAAGTTGCACTCTCATTCTCCATAAAAGTTTATTTCTCTCCAGACTCCATTGTATTTTTCTTAAAAGAGTAACTATTATGCGGCATTGATTTAAATGCTGCATGAAATGGATGAAGCAAAGAGGGTCATCGGAGATAATTTTTCAGCCAGCATCGATGTGAATTTTGGCCAAATTTTTTATATTTTTAAGATCTGGATAATAAAACATTTTGCATAAGTGTTTTCAGAAACAAAAGAAATAAAAGAGATGGTGAAAGAAATGGAAAGAGAGAGAGATCTATGCACGATGGCGGTCTAAGGTGCTTTTCTGGTCGGATTTCGATGATGGCCCGGTGACGTTCTATCATGCTTTTCTGTCGGACTTTGACAATGGCTTGGCGGCAGTCTGAGATGGAGGAAGAAGAACAGTGGGAGGAGGAGAATCTGATGAAGATAATGGGTAGTGGTTTTGGAAAAAGAAAGAGATGAGTGGTATGTGTGGGGCACAACTAGGGGCGTGCATTCGAATCGGTTTATCAATAAATCGAATCGATTATTTGTTATCGATTTATTGATATCGGTTTATTGATTTTTCGATTTCGATTTCGAAATTTTTCGAATCGAGTTATCGATTTCGATTTCGACTTTGTCCTCTTCGGTTATCGGTTTATCGATAAACCGATAAGATATACTAAAAAAATAATTTTTTTTACCCTTATTCTATAATACTCTTCCCTTTACCTTAAGTCTATAACCCTATTATTTTCTCTACTACATTTAAGGAATGATCATATTTAAAGTTCAAGGGAATGAAGTTTAAATTAATGAAAAATAGAATTAGCTGTGATGATGTATTTTTTTTATACCGTTGGAGTGTTGGTGACATACATTTGATCTCTTACTTTAGTTTCANGGGGGGGGGGGGGGTAGAAATTAGGCTTTTCGTGGTTATATCTATATTATTATAAAAACACGAATAATTTACGCTAAATATCGAACGAAAAAAATACTCCTAAAATATTGATCGACTTTTATGCCATTCAATAGCTAAAATATTTATTCAATCGCTAAATAACTATTGGATATAATTGTAAAATTGAGAACATATTTCTAATAGAAATTTGCATTGAACTCTAATACTAACTAAAGTCCTGCCAATACGTTGATGTTCCAAAAGTTATATCAATCCTATATAGATTAAAATACTTTTATCCATGTCCCCCAACTAGCTAGATAAAGGGTTATGCTGTCTATATGTTTCATAGAAGACTGAGGAAAGACAACTACTTGCTTCTACTTTCCCAGTTAATGTTAATTCCGTCTTTTGATTTTTTTTTTATCCACTGATTTCTCTTGCTATTCTTTTTCTATTGTTCATGGCGGTTTTAGTTTGTTTTGATTGTCATGCCCTTATAAGTTTTTTGAGGACAATTGTGAAGCTAGGTCTTTACTATCTTGCAAGCCGTCTCTCGAATTTGCTTCTCTTTTAAGGTGTTAATTAATTTAATTATTTATTTGTTAATTATCATATATGGTTCATGATGTTAGAGCCTAATGCAAGGTGTATTTTCTTTTCTACTACTACTTTTTAAATATTATTGGATGGAATACTCTGTATTTTACGTAAACTTCCAACATATTCAAAATTTAGAGTAAGTTTGTGGTGCGTACAATAATAAAGGTGCATATCAATACNTACTGAATAACCTCCTTTTACTTTCTCAATAATAAAGCCTTTGACCTTTGTATTCGTTCGCCAAATCTTGTTCAGTTCCATCCAAGCTCGGTTTTGTCTGAATCTTCGTGGAAGAAGAAGAAGCGGTTCACCAGCCACTACATCTGTAGATCCCACCAAATCATTAAACCTGGCGGCTGCTCGCTCTTTGATCAGTGATTCACCGGCCACTAGATCGATGAAGAATCTCTCTAAAATCTGCTCTTTGATCAGTGATTCACCGGCCACTAGATCCAGGAATCCCACCTTATTCTCAAACCTGGTGGCTCGGTTGATTGGCACTCCTGTAGGCTCATCTTGCATACAAATTCTGGGGGTCATGCTGCATCTAAGAGTTTAGTCTCATGGAACTAAACTCTTACATATTATCTAAAGTAATGGTCATATGTTGCAAACACCAGTTATGTAGTTATGTACTAATACATCTGAATATTCGATCCATCCATGATTTCAAATATTTTTTACGATTTAAATTATTGGTGTTATCTCTTAGTATATCTTTTTAATTCTACCTTTACGCTGGGCTTTATTCTAATTTTATTTTTCGCCTCCCATATAATTTGCATACGTCGTGATGGTTTTATTTTCTCGCTCTCTTTACTGAACTACTATTCTAATTTCAAGCTAATAACTTTTTATAAAAACTCTATAGGGACAGATGAAGGAGAAAAGATGAGAGGTACTAGACTTAAAAAGCTAAATGTTGATAGATCAACATATAGCTAAATATCGATTGACCAAAATATGTTGGTCGATTTTGATATCCTTTATTGATTAGATTTCTCTAGAATATTAATCTACAAAAATGTAAAATTATTTATGATTTGTAGAGTCCAAGTCAAAATGTAGAATCCAAGTCAATTAGGAATCACTAATTATGATATTTTGTAGAAATAAATTCGTATAATTACTCTATCAAGTATTGCGCTTATAGGATTTTTCACAAGTATGCTGAAGAATAACAGGGGGAAAGGATCGACAAAGTAGTTGTAGCATTGTTAGTTTATTACTCAGGAGTAATCGACGAGGCACAATAAGACTGCCGTGTGTTTTTTAACTAAAGATTATACGAACCATTTCAAGCAAGAGCAAATATAATTGTGTAACTTTAATTTTTGTAAATAACAAACAAAGTCAATCCATAACATTTAATTCTATTTATATACTATGAGATTGAAAGTATACTATTTTTTACGGATTTTATAATATTTGACACAAGATATTCGTGTAACATACGAACGTAGAGACTAGTATTATATTAAAAGCATGAAACCCTAACTTAAAAAGTCAAATTACTTTTATACCCCTCTTATTTTAAAGAGCCCTAAGCCAAAATCACCAAACGTCACGAAGAGTCCAAGCGAACCTTCACCAAACGATACATTCCCTTCTTTGTGTTTTCCTGTTCATTTGTTCATTAATCTTGTGTTAAATAAAGACAGTCCTTTATATCCTTCAACAAAGTCAAAATGTCATTAAACTTTAAATTTTCATTTCTCTTGAATCAAGCAATTTGTCTTCTTAAAAATCTAATAATCCTATTTAATAATATAAAAAAAATCTAATGCATACCGAAAATGCCAACGTTTCATACACCTGTTTTGAAATTGCTAAAGTCTACAAACACGGTACCTATTTTTCATACGGTGCATACTTGAGTTTCTCTATTTATATCTCTATTACCATGGAAAGATTGTCATTGAACTTTTCGGTCTGTTTGTCACTATCGTTTCAGCCGAAGAGATTCTCTAAATGAAATTTAAAGACAAATTATTTCTTATGGTGCGTTCATTCTTTCAATTATTGTTTCTTCAATTCTTTCTAGCTCAAAATAATGAATATGTTTTGATCTGCTCAATTTGTTTATGCCATTTGTATATTATTTTATTTTTATAGTTCGAGTATTGCTCTATGCTTTAGTTACTTAGTTTACCATAGGTACTCTGACCAATATAATAAACTTTAGCACATTGATTCAAAGCCCTATAGTTATTGTTGAGCATTTAAACAAAACATTTGAGAATATAATAACAGTAGTTGAACACCTTTATAGATACATTTTGATACATTCTGTCACGACCTGAATTTTTCACCCTCGGGAGTCGTGATGGCGCCTACTAATACGAGCTAGGCAAGCCAATTATTTGCACAATTTACCTTTTTACCCATTTTATATTCATTAACAATTTCGAAGTAATAACATTTAAATAGCGGAATTTAACATAAGCGAAAGAAAAAGCAATAAGCTATCAGAACATGAATCCAATACAAATGTTTGAATCTCGACTACCCAGAACTGGTGTCACAGTTTCACAGATGGTCTAAGAACACTACAAATAAAGGTCTGAAAGAAATAGATACAACACTGTCTCTGGAAATGCATGAAAGAAACAGGAATAGTAGATGGAAGGAGACGCCAAGGCCTGCGGACACCTGCAGGGCTACCTCGGTTCGCCTGCTGAACAAGAATCAGCAATCCCATCGTGGTCCGAAGTCTACAACACTGGGGTCGGCACAATATCAGCACAATGGACCCCATGTGCTGCTAAGTGCCTAGCCTAACCTCGGCGAAATAGTAACGAGGCTAGGACCAGACTACCAAATAAACCTGTGCAGTATATAATGTACATCGGAAAATAAAATAGAAATGAACAAGTAAGGATGGCAGGGGATACATGGGGTATACCAGTATTAACAGTAAATCAAGAGTAACAGTCTAAGGGAAGCTTAGAATTCACAACAAAACAAAAGAAACTAATATCCAAGCTAAACACACTTGTATCAATAATTGTTGCGGCGCGCAACCCGATCCCAATATATAACAACATTGTTGCAGCATGCAACCCGATCCATATTATTTATCATTGTTGCGGCGTGCAACCCGATTCATATCATTTACCAATGTTGCGGCATGCAACCCCATCCACACATAATATTGTTGCGGCGTGCAACTCGATCCACATATAATATTGTTGCGGCGTGCAACCCGATCCACATATAATATTTACAATTATAACGAGATCCCGACAAGGGATCAATAAGGTCTACACTATCCCGGCAAGGGATCCGACAACATAAGTAATTACGTCCCGGCAATGGAGAAATAACTATAACAAAACTTGTTACAACATCTAACTACCTCAGCTATAACCAAACTTGTTACAACATCTAACTACCTCAGCTATAACCAAACTTGTTACAACATCTAACTACCTCAGCTATATCAAACTTGTTTCCCTAGAATAACCATAATCCTTACCCAACGCAAAGAATCATCAATCTAAGCATCCGTAATATCAACTAAGAACACAATGCATGGGAACTCAACAATAGCCCAGCAAGGAGGCAACATAATGATCTCTTCTCTTTCTCACCTTTACTTCACAATTCACTTTACAACTCGAGCCAATGCTCTAGAGGTTCAATTATCACTGATAGTTTCACAATTCGTTATACAACTTGAGCCAACGCTCCTCAATGTTCATAGGTCACAATCCTTTCCACAAACTTTACACAACACTAGAAACCTTCACCAAGGCATGAATATCATAACGAAGTCATAAAAATCACAATATAAGACTCACGGTCATGCTCGACACCAACGTATAGATATTCGTCACCATGCCTATACGTCGTACTCAACAAGAAACAAATAGCAAATAGGACACAACTCCTAATCTCTCAAGCTAAGGTTAGACCAAACACTTACCTCGAACTTCCACGACCAACTCAAGCCTCAAACACCACATTTCCTTTTGAATTTGACTCCAAATCAATTGTATCTAGACATAATCGACTTAATAACATCAATAAACGCTAAACAATCCAATTCTAATGCTTAATTATAGCTTTCCCATCATTCTTCCCAAAAAAACAAAAATTGACCTCAGGCTCGCTTGGTCAAAACACGAGGTTCGGACCAAAATCCGATCACCCATTCACCTACGAGCCAGAATATATATATTTTTTTGAAATCCGACCCCAAGACGAGGTCAAATTCCCAAATAATCAAAACGCTCTAACTCTACCCAAATCCCTAATTTTCTACCCTTAATCTCATGTTTTAGGCCTAGAAATCTAGTGGGTGTTGATAAAAATGGAAGAAAACGAGCTTAGGATTACATACCTATGAAGCTATGGTGAAGTTCCCCTTCAAAAATCGCCCAAGAGGTGTGGATAATATGAAGTTTATGAAAAATTGGAATTCCCGTAATACATTCTGTTTTTGGAAATTAAAATAACTGGGCGAATTTGCTCTATGCGTTCGCGACAGGCTCATCACGTTCGCGATGAGCTAGGCCTGAGAGACCTTCACGTTCACGGAAATAAGCTCACGTTCGCGGAGAACTAACTCATCGAGCCTTCGCGTTTGCATCCAGGTGGTCGTGTTCGCGTAGGTATAATACCCTCCCTGCCCAGGCTCATAAGCCATCGCGTTCGCGTATGCTGGGTCGCGTTCGCGAAGGGTATACCCCCTTAGCCTCGCGTTCGCGTCACTAGCTTCGTGTTCGCGAAGAAAAAATTTGGCACCTAGGAGATTTGCCTTACGCGTTCGCGAGTGTGCCCACGCAAACGCGAAGAGAAAAATCCCTGGGCACTGAACAGCAAAAACCTACAACTTTTATGAGTTCAAAAACCTTCCGAAACACACCCGAGCCCTCGGGGCTCCAAACCAAACATACATACTAACTCAAACATCATATGAACTTATCCGTGCGATCAAATCGCCAAATTAACCCCTTAGACAACGAATTAAACCTCAAAATCAATGAAATATTTCAAAACTTCTTAAAACATCAAATTTTGCATTTAAGGTCCGAATCACGTCAAACGGATTCCGTTTCTTACCAAACTTCACAGAATTATCTTAAATCACATATAAGACCTGTACTGGGTGTCAAAATCAAAATACGGGCCCGATACCAACATGTTCTAATCAAAATTCATTTCCAAATCCTTTAAACAATTTCAGAAAATAATTTCTTTAAAAATTCATTTCTCGGGCTTGGGACCTCGGAATTCGATACCGGGCATACGCCCAAGTCCCATATTTTCCTACGGACCCTCTGTGACCATCAAATTACGGGTCCGGATCCGTTTACCCAAAATGTTGAACGAAGTCAAATTAATTTATCTTATATCCAAAATTTATTATTTTTCACAGATTTTAACATATAAGCTTTCCGACTACGCGCCTGGACTGCGCACGCAAATTGAGGTGATGCTAAAAGAGATTTTTAAGGCCTCGGAATGCAAAATTCAATTTAAAAATAAGTGATGACCTTTTGGGTCATCATATTCTCCACCTCTAAAATAACTGT